GTGTTCTCAAGTAGTAGACTTGGTTTAATCAAGGATCAATTTATATTAATATTGAAGCTGATAAATTCCATCACACTAATCACGTTCTCATAATAAAAGTTCGTCACTACAGTATGTACGTAAATGAATTTTCCCTTGACTATTTGTAAGATGACTATGACATATTTCCCCTTCAATGAGATAAATCGGTCTATATATATATATATATATATATATATATATATATATATATATATATATATATATATATGTATATAACGAAGGTAAAATAAATCAACAGAAATGTAATGGTTTGTAGTGGCATTAATCACCATTCATGTTTATGGTATTTCAGCTGCTCTATGCCATAATCATTAACACAATATCAATTATGTGTTTTATTTGTACTGTAGAAACAATAGAGGAAACAAAGAAGAGAGAAGGTGGAAAAATCCCTAAGAAGACAATCGAAATAGGTAACGATATATGTATGCCTAATCGAAATTTACTCAATCATCTCTTGATGAATTCATTATCTATTAAAATTGTTTGATCACTGGATGTTGATCAATGTCATGTGTGTCAGGTCCTTCTTAGTGCAGTTCGAATCCTATCGACCAAGTTGAAATATGACCACCAGTCTAGATGACTTGACATTGTGTGCATTATTTTGAGTATAAGATGTTGGTTGGAGGTAGTCAACAGGAAACACCGATCGTGAATCTGAGTGACACGAGATCCAATCCGTCAGGGAGCATCACTTCCCTCAAGATTACAGGTACACCTTGCTGACGAGTGCCAAGTAGCACGAAACCTCTATCCATGGATCCCTGTCGACTACCTCCAACCACCATCTTATTATTATTTAATAATTTTCAAACAAGCCTCACATACAAGTACTTACGGTGTTTTTGGATTTACACCATACTTTTATGAAAAACGATGACCTAGTGTACAGATACTTTTGTGTTCTCAAGTAGTAGACTTGGTTTAATCAAGGATCAATTTATATTAATATTGAAGCTGATAAATTCCATCACACTAATCACGTTCTCATAATAAAAGTTCGTCACTACAGTATATACGTAAATGAATTTTCCCTTGACTATTTGTAAGATGACTATGACATATTCCCCCTTCAATGAGATAAATCGGTCTATATATATATATATATATATATATATATATGTATATAACGAAGGTAAAATAAATCAACAGAAATGTAATGGTTTGTAGTGGCATTAATCACCATTCATGTTTATGGTATTTCAGCTGCTCTATGCCATAATCATTAACACAATATCAATTATGTGTTTTATTTGTACTGTAGAAACAATAGAGGAAACAAAGAAGAGAGAAGGTGGAAAAATCCCTAAGAAGACAATCGAAATAGGTAACGATATATGTATGCCTAATCGAAATTTACTCAATCATCTCTTGATGAATTCATTATCTATTAAAATTGTTTGATCACTGGATGTTGATCAATGTCATGTGTGTCAGGTCCTTCTTAGTGCAGTTCGAATCCTATCGACCAAGTTGAAATATGACCACCAGTCTAGATGACTTGACATTGTGTGCATTATTTTGAGTATAAGATGTTGGTTGGAGGTAGTCAACAGGAAACACCGATCGTGAATCTGAGTGACACGAGATCCAATCCGTCAGGGAGCATCACTTCCCTCAAGATTACAGGTACACCTTGCTGACGAGTGCCAAGTAGCACGAAACCTCTATCCATGGATCCCTGTCGACTACCTCCAACCACCATCTTATTATTATTTAATAATTTTCAAACAAGCCTCACATACAAGTACTTACGGTGTTTTTGGATTTACACCATACTTTTATGAAAAACGATGACCTAGTGTACAGATACTTTTGTGTTCTCAAGTAGTAGACTTGGTTTAATCAAGGATCAATTTATATTAATATTGAAGCTGATAAATTCCATCACACTAATCACGTTCTCATAATAAAAGTTCGTCACTACAGTATATACGTAAATGAATTTTCCCTTGACTATTTGTAAGATGACTATGACATATTTCCCCTTCAATGAGATAAATCGGTCTATATATATATATATATATATATATATATATATATGTATATAACGAAGGTAAAATAAATCAACAGAAATGTAATGGTTTGTAGTGGCATTAATCACCATTCATGTTTATGGTATTTCAGCTGCTCTATGCCATAATCATTAACACAATATCAATTATGTGTTTTATTTGTACTGTAGAAACAATAGAGGAAACAAAGAAGAGAGAAGGTGGAAAAATCCCTAAGAAGACAATCGAAATAGGTAACGATATATGTATGCCTAATCGAAATTTACTCAATCATCTCTTGATGAATTCATTATCTATTAAAATTGTTTGATCACTGGATGTTGATCAATGTCATGTGTGTCAGGTCCTTCTTAGTGCAGTTCGAATCCTATCGACCAAGTTGAAATATGACCACCAGTCTAGATGACTTGACATTGTGTGCATTATTTTGAGTATAAGATGTTGGTTGGAGGTAGTCAACAGGAAACACCGATCGTGAATCTGAGTGACACGAGATCCAATCCGTCAGGGAGCATCACTTCCCTCAAGATTACAGGTACACCTTGCTGACGAGTGCCAAGTAGCACGAAACCTCTATCCATGGATCCCTGTCGACTACCTCCAACCACCATCTTATTATTATTTAATAATTTTCAAACAAGCCTCACATACAAGTACTTACGGTGTTTTTGGATTTACACCATACTTTTATGAAAAACGATGACCTAGTGTACAGATACTTTTGTGTTCTCAAGTAGTAGACTTGGTTTAATCAAGGATCAATTTATATTAATATTGAAGCTGATAAATTCCATCACACTAATCACGTTCTCATAATAAAAGTTCGTCACTACAGTATATACGTAAATGAATTTTCCCTTGACTATTTGTAAGATGACTATGACATATTTCCCCTTCAATGAGATAAATCGGTCTATATATATATATATATATATATATATATATATGTATATAACGAAGGTAAAATAAATCAACAGAAATGTAATGGTTTGTAGTGGCATTAATCACCATTCATGTTTATGGTATTTCAGCTGCTCTATGCCATAATCATTAACACAATATCAATTATGTGTTTTATTTGTACTGTAGAAACAATAGAGGAAACAAAGAAGAGAGAAGGTGGAAAAATCCCTAAGAAGACAATCGAAATAGGTAACGATATATGTATGCCTAATCGAAATTTACTCAATCATCTCTTGATGAATTCATTATCTATTAAAATTGTTTGATCACTGGATGTTGATCAATGTCATGTGTGTCAGGTCCTTCTTAGTGCAGTTCGAATCCTATCGACCAAGTTGAAATATGACCACCAGTCTAGATGACTTGACATTGTGTGCATTATTTTGAGTATAAGATGTTGGTTGGAGGTAGTCAACAGGAAACACCGATCGTGAATCTGAGTGACACGAGATCCAATCCGTCAGGTAGCATCACTTCCCTCAATATTATATTTTTGTCTGACTTTTTGAGTTCTTTTTTCCATCTCTTTTAATGGTCGCTGAACTTGAAGAATTGTATTTTTAGAGTGATTTTGTTGTTTTATTATATGTTTCTTTATTTTATGCGTAAATATTTTCTAACCATATTGAATGGAAAGTTGAATTTTAAAATCTTGTTAATATTTTTGATCCGTCAATACTTATATTTCTAGTTCACTATTACTAATCACCGGTCCGTAATGTATTTCAAATTATGCAATTCATTTAATCCCTGCACGCGGGATTATGGATGAGCACTGTTGCGAAGTCCCATACTATGACGTAATGGCCGTTCAGTGCCTCTGTGTCTTCAGTGGTAGTCTAGCTTACATAGACTCATGAATACAACTAATAAAATCATTCTAATGTTTTTAAAAATTGTATTTGACATAATATTGTTCATTGTTTATCTTTCTCATTTTCCATAGAAACTGTAGTGGAAACAATTGATAAGGGAGTTCCACGTATTCCAAAACGTAGAATTGAAATAGGTAATCAGATATTTTTTCGCATCAGTTTTGTTTCTTCTTACCCTGAATATATTCCAATTTTGAGTGTTAATTTACCATCTTAAAAAAGGACACTCACATACATCTGATTTACAAAAAATTTAAACGATTGAAAATATTATCAGATTATAGAGCTTCAAGCAGTATTATTATATTTTATTTGAACAAAACCAAATATTGAATTGACAACAGTAGTGTATTTCCTGACCACTATTATCCACAAGAATGAGAATAGGAATAGGTATTGTAAGCAAAGATGGATAGTGGCTAGCAGTGGAATCCAAGACGCGCGTTCCATCCTATTTGGGATTCGTCAGCTGGATCTACCTGCATCTCAGAGTTGATGTTCACTCTGCGACTCCAACCCAGTGCCATTCGCGTATTGCTAATAAGAGACTGATCAGTTGCAGTCCTAAACATTAATGGCAAGATTCAAACATGTAGTACTAAGTTGAATAGGTATTGTTATGAAATTCTAATTGTTATTCAATTATTTTCACAATGATTTTACTATAAACAGCTTTCTTATCATTGAAATGCGCTGTTATTACATTGTTTCTATGCTGTTTTTTCTTTTGTTTGCATATCAGACTATCATTTTCTCAATTGTTGTACAGTCTCCAGTAATTATTATTGTTCATGCATTTCCGTACCGATCGCGTTTCGTTTCCGTTCTTTCATTATCGATCTTCTAGTGAAATATATTCTCTGCCTAACCATCGTCATAAACTACTTATGTGGATGTGAGCAACTCACATCACAATATTCGTTTCTTTATATGGATATAAATTGAATTCTTTCTAGGAATTTGTATAAGTTATATACTACTCATAACCGATACTACACTAAAATAGTTTGATATATTGAGATACTTTCTATTCATTTACTTTTTACTTTACACAGAAACTGTAGTGGATGCAACAAAGAGAAAGAAGAAAATAGGTGATAGTTTAAATCATTTTATTATTATTATTATTATTATTTGTAGTAGTAGTAGTAGTAGTAGTAGTAGTAGTAGTAGTAGTAGTAGTAGTAGTAGTAGTAGTAGTAGTAGTAGTAGTAGTAGTAGTAGTAGTAGTAGTAGTAGTAGTAGTAGTAGTAGTAGTAGTAGTAGTAGTAGTAGTAGTAGAATGATCACTGAACGGGAATAGAATGAACAAATATTAAGATTGATATTTCATTGCAATTCAATCACATATCGATTTTCATTTGTATTATACGAGTACAATTTCCGCTCCTTTTCTAAACATGATTCATATAATTGATTTGTACTGACATAATTAAAAATAATATATTTGTAAAATCTCAGCGGATGAATTTGAAGTAAATCTAAAGTTTCGCCTGGCAATCTGGTCAGAGGATATTTCCTTGAGAAAGCCTGGACTAGATTGCCAGTCGAAATGTTGGATTTACTTCAAATTTATTCACCGAGATTTTACAAATATATTATTCCTATTTAATGTCTTACATCAATTCGGCGCCCAAATACTGTGAAACTATTCGCTCTAATTTGGACGAAAGTTCATATATATGATTTGTACTGATTATATATATATATATATAATCTGAAAAAAAGACAGAATGGATATCAGTTTACATGGATAATGAAGTTGATACAAAGTTATCTACTGCATATAACATACACCTTCTTTTCCAGATTACATTGTTTTATTTAACATCTCTAAATTAATATCACTGAATTCCTGCTGTTTTCCAACTTTGTCTTGTTTAGTGATTATGTAACACAGATATATTTTTCTTTCATTATTTCTAGATAAAGTCATTGATACAGTCAAAGTTTTATTCCGACCACCAAAACGAAGACCAATAAACATAAGAGGTAGTATTTTTCAATATCTATAATTTTATTTTAAATTAATCACATGAATACTTATTATTTAGTTTTCGAACTTAACAAAAGCACTGATATGTTGTTGCTAGTAGATTTTAAGATAAATGTTCACTCTCTAGATCGGGGCAATACACACATTATGCACATATGCTAATTAGAGACTGATCAGTTGCAGTCCTAAACATCAATGAGAAGATTCAAACAAACAGTACCATGTGAATTTAAACTTCACCACATTGCACAAGCAAGTGACTATCAGGACTCAGTAGCTGAATGGATAACGTGATGACGTTTGAAGCGAATGATAGTGGGTTCAAGTCTCAGAGTGAACATTAACTCTGAGATGCAGGTAGATCCATCTGACGAGTCTCAAACAGTCCTGGATTCCACTGTTAGCCACTATCCATCTTTGCTTATAATGGTCACTCTCAATTTTTACTATATTTTCGAACATTTCACTTATAACGTCAATGATACAGAAAAAGCATTAGTAAGTTAAGATCCAATTTTCTTTATGGTCTAATCTAGAATAATACGGCACAACTTCTAAATTACTGATACTAAATGATTACGTCATTACATATTTGTTAATTTTCACCTAATTTAACAAGTTCTAATAACTTTCTTAAAGTACAAAATAATTGGTTTTCGAAACCGGTTATTTGAAAATATAGAACCTTAATATAATAAGTGGAAACTAATCTTTTTAATTTCACTTAGTATTGTTTGTAGGTATCATTACCAAGTTTTGATTTGATAATTTTGAATAAATTGTTTGTTTGAATCATCCCATTGAGGTTTAGGACTGCAACTGGTCGGTCTCTAATTGGCATACGTGTATACTGTGCGTATTGCCTCGATATAGCCTAAATTCCCAAGCATTGAAAGCGAAGATGTTGCTAACTTGTTTTCACTCATCAGTCAAAATATACAGAAAATATACAGATAAGTCAACAAGATGAGTAAGTTAATGTTAAGAAAAACTGAACATAAAGATATTATATACTTGGTATTTAAATTAGAACATTTGTTCACATAGTGTTTTTGTTTCATCATATTGGATGCAATTGTACATATACTGAGTTTTAGATTTATGAATTGACATTTTCTAACTATTTGCTGCATATATGTTCGTTTACTTGATTTTAGGGGGTTTTAAGGTAGGTGGTAAACGAACTGGAAATCGGTACATACGCGTACATGCTGGAGGGAGAAGGAGATGTGGTGGTGGCATTAGAATACGTGCAGGAGGATGTTGTAGAGTTAGAGGAGGCTGCAGGGTTCGTGGATGTTGCCGAGCTCGTGGGTGCTGCAGGGCTCGCACATGTTACCGTCGCGGTGGAGGTTGTTGCCGAGCTCGTTGCTGGAGTGGCCGCTTATAAGGACTGTTATTTTCTACACATTATTTAATGGAGTTCTGTTGTTCATAAATATACTATATATAATTGTTATTTAAATAATTTGTAACGATTTTGAGTTACTAATTAATAACGCAACAAATCATTTTAAAGTAGGTAGAACTTTTTTATTTGATAAAATAGTACAATATCTGAAATGGAAATCAACGAATCTATTGGTTACCACTATAGATCAGAAACCTTGATCATCCTGAAAAAAATCAATCCACCAAATGATAATAATAAATATAGTCTAGAGATCACAATATATAGGTAAATGCATATTAGAACTTAACATTCTTCAGTACCTTTCTTATGACAATCAACAACATTATCACTGATCACTGAATCATCAAAAATCTTTTGGAACATTTATTAGACGATCTAAGGTAAAACAGAGTTATTTTGTAAACTTATTACAATTTCGCATATAAGCTTGCTGTTTTCTACGAAATCTAATTCATAAAAATGAAGCATGTCCTTCCATATACATCGATTATGAATACTAGTCTCACACTACCTAGTGTGAGATCACCTTGTTAGGCTTGGGACTAGCACAATTTTCATTAAAATGTGCTTATTTTTTGTGAATGTATTTATGTGATGTCCATGAAGATAGATGAAACAATGAAGGTCAAAATTCATTTTAAAGAACAGGCGAAAAAAATTTGTTTTACCAACGAAATATGGTTGAGAAGCAGAATACCAGGAGAAAACAGGAACATATTGTTTGCACATAAATGAAGTAGACGTATGATCCTTTTGTGTATTTGTTCGTATGCGTGTGTGTGTTTGTTTGCTTGTGGAAATTCCCTTCACGTATGGATTTTATCCAACGGTGTTAATTATTAACCTCAACCAATCCACAACATTAGGTTGCTATCTTCCATTGCCTTTGGTGGATCACTGCCTCACATGAGACATGGATTAGCTAAAATGACCACGGATTCAATGATGTTCAACAATCTCCACAACCTCATAGTGAAAATAGATTTTTAACAATTGAAGGTTTATATGACATTTTTAACTGTTTACTTCTTAGTGATTGAGTTGTTCGTTCCACAATTGCAACCATTGTTTTTTTGGGTCATACCATTTCGATAATGTAACTTTTCATTTTCTTAAACTATTTACTCGGTCTAATGTAATTTTCAGGCGTTGATCGTGTTACATTTTTTTGAGCAACTATTTCGGCTTTATAGGCAAGCAGTATTATTCGTTTACGTAATTTGCATAATTTATATTTATAATCCTTATAATTCGAACCATATCAAACCCTACCAATACGTTTTAAATATGTCTTTGGGAAAGACGAGTGCCTAATGTTTAACTAGAAATTACAAGCAATCTATATGATAACAATTTGAAAGTTAATACAAACAATCTATTATTGACAATCCGATATTTACGACAAGGAAAAAGATAATATCAGATGTGGATCAATTTTGTTTCTAAATAAAACAAGTAAAAACAACAGGTTTTCATAGAAATTAGATTTGGGAAAAAAGGGGCTGTGTGATTTGTAATTACAAGAAATGAAGTAAAGTGAAATTATATCAATATTTGTGGAGCCCTGAAATCCAATGAATAGGATCTGCAATAACTTAACGCAGACTAGCTTCAGAGAATGCCTTTAGAGGTACTGACAAGAAATATTTTCCAATATAAGAACGTTGGATAGAGAATTTTTAAAGCCATAGAGACATTTACCATCATTTTGACTTTTCACAATATCCAATAACGTTTTTGTTCAGTAGCATCATGAAATATCTTTCTGACTTGCAGTACTTTATGGACATCCAAAGCAGTTGTAAGCAGTAACATCACAACAGAGTGAACACACATGCTGGGAGCTATTGTTGTGACGGCTTTCTGAATGCATTTGTTTATTATATCTTTTAATCTTTCACATTGTTTACGCCATTCACGGAAACCTTCATATTACCATGATCAAAGACGTTTGTGCTACATTTCAAAAGGAGGTTTTCAAATATTTCACATACTGATAAATTTCTATGTTGCTTGATAGTATCCAAGTTCTACTCGTTTTAAGCTTATATATTTACACTAAGTGAACAAGAATACAGTTGGTAAACTTTTCGAGCTATCCAATTCAGTAGTACAAAAAGATTCATTAATATATATTGTTATTGACTCTATAATATTTACACTGTGGGTGATATTGCTAATCACTCAGGTTGTGATTAGTCATCTGTTATCAGCTTCTTAGTTTTATCATTAAATAGCAAATTAAGTAAACAGTTTAACGGCTTTTTGTGCTTGACAGTGAACTGAGCTACTTGGTAATGTAAACCAGCTCGCGTATCAAACGGTGACAATGCTAAAGTGACACCACTCAATCACTTGAACACATATGTTGTCACACAATAGTTTTCACAAGGACCTCTACAAAAACGTTTTTTAAATGACCAATTTGATCGAATGCATCAGTTGATTATCGCTGCTACATAATTTAGTATTAGTTTAGTACTATAGGAATGATAGAGAAGACTGAAAACCTAAACCACATTATCTTGCTGTAGGTGTGTACGCTGAGATGAGTACTGTAATCATAGAGACGTAATATATTTTGTATACCTTATCATACTGTTACGTCCTTGAATCTGTCTATCCACTTTAGTGCCGAGTATGACTTGTCTAATGTAGATTATGACCTTGACCCGATAGGCTGACTGGCTTAACCTTGAGGCTAGTATGCGTGAGTTCGAAGTGGGGGTAGAGACGAAAACTATTCTATCACTGATTGGCTGGCAAGCACGCGAGAGAGAGAGAAGACAAAGACAGCTGTAACACTAATCACTTTATTCCAACCCCGATCTAACACTCGAATTCCCAATTCAGATTTGGGGTGAAAAGTTACATGATGATGGATTTTGACTGACAATATGATTAACATCATCATTCTGTTATTCAGCTTACCTGCAAGTTCGAAAATAAATCGTCCGATTAGAGACTGTAGGGTCAGTGAGATGTCACTGAGCCCTAGCCAAATCATCTGATAGCTAGGTGACTGAATATTAAGAAGTTCATTGATCCCCATCAAGGTCAAGGACAACCGACGTGCATCAGTTAATAGTATACCGTGGACTGGCCCATGCGGGGGTGGTCTCGCTAACATCTCTCTACTTATTCGTGCAAATATATTTACATAATAGCGTCCTTTGTGTTATACAGTTTTCAAAGCAGCCACAGTACTTTGATAAGTTGAAGGTGTAATGCAGGTTAGATACTAACCGCGAGGTGTGACTTGGAAGTAAGCTTTTGGTCACACCATTCCCGTCTAACTTGAGTAGACCTCCAATCACTCTACAGAGATTATCAACGTTGATGATCCATAACCCTATGAAAAAATTTTTAGAAATAAAGTTTGTGACATCAACCTTCTCGTTTTGAACAAAGATGGTTGACCACCTGTCCATCACGAATAGTAGGTTGGTTATACAATAATCATTGTTCGTGAAACAATGCTATTATGATAAAAAGATGTTTATGGATAGTAGGTATTCACATAGACCTTCACGTGTTAGGGACTCTATAGTTTTTGAGGGTGTTGAGAGATGTGCTA